ACGCTCACCGACCGAGCATTGAGCTGGTTCAACTCCTTGCCCACTGGGTCAATTGAAGCTCTCTCCCAACTAACGGATCGCTTCACTCACCATTTCGCTATCAACAAAGAGTACGCTAAGACTCCCGCGTACCTCTTCACTGTCACCCAGAGACAGGGCGAAACCCTTCGCAACTACATTCAACGATTTGTAGAGACAGCTCATGAAGTTCCTAACATGGGAGGAAGCATGCTCTCTGGAATCATTCAACAAAACTTGAAGTAAGGTAGATTTAAGGAATCTATTGTAGGAAGACCTCCAACCACTCTGGAAGAACTACTAAGTCGTGCTGAGAAACACGTGCGCATCGAAGAAGCTTCGACCCTCGCTCCTCCCAAGAGGAAAAGAGATGACGATCACTTTAGCACCCGACGACGAGATGGCCGACGACAATCGTCGACATCTCATTGACAATCACCTTCTACATCTCTGGACTTCCAATGATGTCAATGACACTTGGAGTCTCTGGAGCTCATAACATTGTTAGTGATCGCATCATCCTAAACTGGGGGGCTATCTTACCTTAAGGATGATGCATCCCCTCACCTCTCTACATCAATTGGACGAAACCTGTTTAGTGTAGATTTTACGCTCAATACGTTTACTTTACGTGGATCTTTTGTTGAGATTTAATTATATTTGTGCTTTAATTGACTGATTTTGTGTTTTACAGGTGAAAACGAGAATTAGGTGTCCATAAAGGAAAAAAGATCAAAAGGAAAGGAAAAAGTTGCAAATAAGGAAATAAATCAAATTGGAAGAAGGAATCTTGCCACAACTTTGGCAGTGTCCACCATTTTGAGCATATCTTTCTCATACAAACTCCAAATCAGCTGATTTGGGCGGCATTGTAAATCTAATTTCAAGGGCTACAATTTTTATTTACGGAACATTCCGAAATTCGGACTCCAATATGGCGAAAATCGAAGAACAAATCCTGATGGGGGAAAGTGGCGGAAATTGATTCCTATTAGGTTTCCACTACTTCCTTATCAAGAAAAGCCTATAAAAGCAACAAGTCTCCACACCATACGAAATTTGACACCACAAAATGCGAGGAACGAAGATCAACGAAGACTCAAGCATAGTTTTTCTTATTTAATTTATTTATTTTATGTTCTTTAACCTAAGAATCACGAGTAGCTAAGTCCTTATTTAATTTCTAGGATTTTATTTGGAACCCTGTGTGGGATTTATGAACCCAATTCTATGATTTTATGCAAGTTTTAATCCCGGATTATTTCTCCTACTTGTTTTATTAAGTGCATGAATTTGATCACCTTATGTGCTTTTATGTTATTGTTAATCGCATGAATCGGAAGATCGGGTTAATAATTAGAACTGTGGTAGAAGAGTCTTTGTGGTATTAACATAAGAATATAGTTAATCTCTTAGGTAGCCATTATTGAGATTTGTGCTTAATGTTGTGTTCTAGAATTAATTGCATAGGAATATAGTAATCGAATCTAGAGTATTAGAATCGTAATGCACGCGGAAGTGGGTTATGATTATTTTAGCATCTCTGGTTAATAAACCGGGTTAATTGCTTGCATAATTGAAGGAATTGGGGAAATAATAATCACATAGGGGGAAGAATAAAATCCTAGGCTTGCTTATCTTGATTAAATCTTCGTTTTATTTGCTTTCTTGTTTTTGCTTGCCTTTTAATTTAGTTTAATTTAGTTAATTCTCTCTAAAGTCGACTGTGTAGGGTGAGCTTGATAATAATTGCTAGAATTTAGCGTCTAGGATTAAGTAATTAAATATCCCCTGTGGGTTCGATATCCGGACTTAATTGTCCACTATATTACTTGTACGATACGTGCACTTGCGTGTAGGTATTCCAACCAACAAAACCCCTACATCAGCTACTTAGTACGAGTTTAGTTATTTCGAGCGATTCACACCTTATATGTTTAGTCACATTCGCCTCAATATGCTTGTAACCTTCACATTTTCAAGCAATGAATAAAGCAAATTATTTCCCTTACACTCGGTGTTATTGCTCTGCCACTACATAATTATTTGCTCAAGTCAACCTTAACCCTGAGAACACTTAGAGATGTTATGATAATCTATATAGCCTGGCCAGCTTGATTTCATAAACTTCTCTATCTGTCTTCATTGGGTCCTACATTTAAAACGTGGTCACGGTCCTAACATATTTACGACCCATGAGGTCTAACAAGGGGCACGATCCCCATCAAAAAATCTTGAGAGTCTGATCCCCTCATCAAGTACATCACGCACAATGCTAAATGTAAACACATACAAGCAACGCGTCAAACCGTCAATGTCATACAAAATAAACGTCAAATGAAATAGTAATGGGCGAACCCATCTACTCCAAGTATGAAAAAAAAATGAAGAACCTACAATTTCACACCCCTTAGCCCACGTGCTATTACAGGAGAAGAAGAAGAAAAGAAAAAAAGTTCTAATTTCCGATTGTTCCGAATTTATTTGGAATGAAATTGGAATTGTAGATTAAATTAGTGGAAATTTCGATTTTCAATCCGATAACGGTTGACCGAATTTTTTTAACCGAAAACGTGAAATGTCTATTATATCCCTTTTAGTTGATGATTTATTGCTTTTATAAATGCAAATTTAGACCGAATGACCTATTTTAATCGGAAAATCGGATGCCATAGGATGATTGACACGTGGATAGTTTAAATAAAAATAGGGCAAATTACCAAAACCCCCCTGAGGTAAGCCTAAATAACGAAAATCCCCCCCACGTTCTCGTAATTACGAAAACCCCCCTGAGTTATGCAGACATCTTACAAATCGCTCTAACGGTGTTAAACTCGATAGAATCTTTTTGATTCTCCCGAATATTCCTCCGATAATACCAATTTTGCCCTTGTACACGAAATTACCCTTAGGGGGGTAATTGTAAGCATTTTATTTACCAAATAAATAGAGAAAAATATCAATATACATTTTAAAAATCACGAAAATTATGCCAAATAATTCCTGTTGATATTACAATAATTGTTGAATTTTTTTTTATTTTTATGGTTTGTAATTATATTTTTTATTATATTAATTCAAAAAAATACAATAAAATAGATAATAAATAGAGAAAAATATCGAAATATATTTTAAAAATCACGAAAGTTATGCCAATTAGTTCCTGTTGATTATTCAAGAATTATTGAAATTTTATTTTATTTTTCTGGTTTTTAATTATATTTTTTTATTATTTTAATTCAAGAAATACAGTAAAATAGATAATAAATAGAGAAAAATATCAAAATATATTCAAAAAATCACGAAAATTATCCCATATGGCTCCTACTGAAGTTACATGAATTTATGAAATTTTTATTATATTTTTATGATTTTTAATTACATATTTTTATTATTTTAATTCAAAAAATAGATAATAATTAGAGAATATTAATTCGGGTATGAGGTTTGAAGAGTGGAAAGGTACTGTGGATAGTTCTTTTACGAAATAGTAATTATTATTTATATTATTCGGGTACTTTTATTATTTAATTTCTATTTATTCATTATTTTAGCTAAATATATTCGTTAAAATAGTGAAAAAAACACCAAAGCTCGTTACTACACCGAAAAACATAACCATTCTCCTCTGGATAAATAAAATCAATTAAAATATATAAATAAAAAAAATAAAAAAATTATAATATCAAATTATCAATACAAATTACAAAGTAATAAATAAATTTATAAAAGCAATAAATCATCAAGTGAAAGGGATGTCAGGGGGGATTTTCGTTATTTAGGCTTACCCCAGGGGGGTTTTGGTAATTTGCCCTTTATTTTTTACATATTTAACAGAAGGTATAATAGACATTTCACGTTTTCGGTTAAAAAAATTCGGTCAACCGTTAGTCAAGGGGGGTTTTCGTAATTACGAGAACGTGAGGGGGATTTTCGTTATTTAGGCTTACCTCAGGGGGGTTTTGGTAATTTGCCCATAAAAATATAATTAGGATTCTAATAATTGGAAGAAAAAAAAACAGCATAACCCGTAATCCCTCTAACCCTAATTATAATCAGCGTGAATTATTAAGAATTAAGACTTAAGAGTACCACATGTCAAAAAATTAGTGGAATCCAATTTACATTAAATATCGGCTGATCCGCTCAAAATTTAATCTTTATAATTTATGTTATATGTCATATGAAAAATATATATTGAAGGGTCAAGTAAATTAAAAGATTAGAAATATTAATGGCTATCAATAAATTTATGTTGCAATTATTGTTATAAGAAAATCAATGCTTCAGTTTGTTGTTTGTCCGTACATGTGTTTTTGTGTATTGTGTTTTATCGAACTCTCTTTTGCATTTTATCGCATTTTTCTTGCAAAGTTACAAAAAAAATAGAAAAATATTGTGAAAATTTCCATTTTTTTCAAATTGGGAACAAGAATTATAAGCTAATGTAATTTCCAAAATTTCACCGATTCCGAGATCCGAATGAATTTTTTATTTTCGACTTTTTTGGAACAAAAAATTGGAACCTATTTTTTACTTCCGAAATAATTTAATTTTTTTTCCAAAAAAGTAATTTCCGATCCATTCCGTCGGATTTCCACCCCTAAATTAGCCAGTTATGAAAAATCGAAACAACAGAACCAAGATTATAAAAAAAAAACATAAAATTAAAAAGTAAGACCCACCCGAGGAATCCGGGCCAAACACCTTCTCGCTCTCTCAAGTCTCACCTCTTCTGGCTTCCATCCTTTGTTCTTCCTAATCTACAGACCACCACCATCCCGCCTCTTCACCCCCTTTCTTTGTTCTACCTATTCAGTTTAATTAGGTATGGAACGTTTTTGTTTCCCTTTTTCATATATATTTAACAATCACCGAACAGCTCTTACCAAACAACTCTTAAACAACATTTTATAATATGTCGTCTCTTTTTCTCTCTCTCATTTTTTTATCTCTCTCCTTTCTTTCTTGTCTCAGTCAACATGGTCCTGGTATAATAACCACCAAACTTTTTCACCACCACTCTATAGATTCCCCATACTTTCGCCCAAATGCCAGCAAGAAAGATCTTGCTGACTTCGATCAAGAGAGTTCTATACATAGAGCATCTCTTTTGGTTGACAACTTGCAGTTAACCAATGTACAATTTGAGCTTACTCCGACCAGAAGAGGTGGGTTTTATGCCAAAATAGGAGTTGGATCGAAATATGTCTTACAAACGGTTTATGTGGACACCGGCAGCACCCTTTTCTGGATCAACTGTCAGCCATGTGCCTTCAGCATTTACATGCCGGAACCCATATTTGATCCGAGGACATCTTCCACATTTGCCTTCGATGATTGCGATGGCAATATTTGTAAAGGAACTCGTGCAATTTCGTGCGGGTATGATCAAACTTACAACTTTAGATGTGAATTTGTCATAGAATATGCTGATGGTTCTTCTTGCAGTGGCCGGGTGGCTAGGGAGCAGTTTGCCTTTGGTGAAGAAGTCCTACAAGGGATTTTCTTTGGATGTTCATATAAGACCAAACTAGTAGATACTAGTGGCATTTTGGGACTCGCCGAGCATTCTAGTTCTCTTCTTACACAATTAGGATATAGAAGGTTTGGGTATTGTATTGGCGATGTTGCTGATATGTCTTATTCATACCACAAATTGTTCATAGGAAACTCAGTTACCATAACAGGTGACAAGACTTCACTCATTGTGGATTCTAAGTACTATATTAATGTGGAGCGCATTGAGGTTGGCGGTCTTTTATTGGATATTGATAGAGATATATTCAAGAAAAAGGATCACACCGGTGGAATGGTGGTTGACAACGGGTCACCTTATACGTTCATGCCACTTGTGGCGGTGAAATCCTTCGAGACAGCTTTGATCAAGATGTTTACAAAAGCTAATTTTACAATAAATAAGTTACACTCATATAGAGGATACCAGAAGTTGTGCTACGATGGAGATGTAAAGAAAGACTTGGACTTGCAGTCTTTTCCACCTGTGAAATTAACATTCGAGGGTGGCGCAACTATGGAACTAATCGCCGAAAATGTTTTTCATCAAGTTTCCGAATCATCTTTTTGTTTAGGAACCCTACCCATTGAAGTTATCCATGAAGATGCTACAATAAGTATTTTAGGTTTTCACATGCAGCAACAATTCTACGTAAGCTTCGACTTGGATAGAAAGGAATTTGCATTCACTAGAATGGATTGCGAGACATGGAGTTAATTGTTTTGTAATGAAAAAGCTTTCTAGGCACCGAGAACACGGAGTTAATTTTTTTGTAATGAAAAACTTTCTTCCGTTGAATTTGAATTAATAAGTTCTCTGAATATTTACAGTCGCCTAACTGTATATCTCTATGAAGTTTAGCAAATATAATACATGTTTCACTTATCTACCAAAAATGTCATGAACCAATGCTCTTTTCCCTTTAACCAAGCTATAAACACTGCAACATTAATAGAGAACAAGCATACACACGATTAAATCATGGATGCATCAGCATGATTAAAACGATGGAGAGAAAGAGAACTGGAAGAGCAGCTACAATGGGAAATCTGGTTCTCCCAAAAAAAAAAAAAATTAAAACCCAAAAACGTCCTGCATCAATGAAATTAGAACCCACGATACTTTATTGGTTGACCTTAAATGGAGAACAACCCCTGAACCTCCTCTACAATGGACGACCTTGCGTCATGTGAAGATATATTCCTGCATAAAGGACACAGCAAAAATCTCTGACAAGTGCACCCTCTATTACATTATAAGTTGAAGACTGAAAATATATCTTACCTCCAGCACCTGAGGACTGAAAATGAAAATTGTGTCTGAAATTGAGGATGCTGATTACAATAGAGCCGGGATCTCACTTTGGGCTTTGGGATCTCACTTTGGGTAAGATGCCACTTCAGCTCTCCCAGTTGACCTGTCTTTTGCTCGAATGCACACACGATTGCCTGATTCTGTAGTAGTACCAATCTTCCGTTTAGCGTGTACTAAGGAATAATCGATGCCTTCATCACTCAAAGAATCTCCTTTCTTGTAGGCATGTGAAGAATGAGGTAAAATCTCAGAAGAGGGACACTCAATACATCTTTGACTTCCACAGTCCACTTGAAATTATCACAGAGCTCATAAAAGGAAAATAAATTTCCCTCGGATATATTGGCATTGTGCGGTCAATAGCAATCTGCTCACTCTGAACATTTAGAACCGCTGACGAAGTAATCCCTACTTTTAACTTTTCCATATGCTTGGCAACGTATGATGTCACCATCACCATATATTGTGGCAATTAAGGTACAGTTCCCAGGTGAAATCGCAGAAAGTCGTCCCGAAAACTTGTGAATTTCGGCTGTCTGATCATCCGTACTGGAATACCGTATATCACGAGCCTGGTACAAGTAATATATCACTGGCATGTAATCTTGGTGGAGAATATACTTCCAGCATAACCGGTTGGCTCAGTATTTTACGTCCAGAACGTTTGGTAGCGCTAAGGTATATGGTCGTCACCCCAACACGTGTAGCTTGTAATACCAATTTTTGCCCACGCACACATCTCTCTGGCAAAATTGAAAAATCATAGTCGTCGACAACCTCAACTATATTTTCCTCGATATGTACACGAATGCCCATGTAAATGTACTGAGACGGGTCGAAAACCCGCCCGTCAACAACCCCAACCGAAAGATTTACAGACTCGAAACTTCCCTCCATAATGCGTATGCGTCCTCCTCCCGTTAAAATCTTGATCCAGTCCATTTCCGCAACTCGGACGGTGGAAGATGCAGAGAGGGTATGAATGAGTCCGATATCGCCAACTGTCACAAGTGCAGAGCCCACGCCTTTCGGAGCCAATGTTAGTTGCGAACAGTCGTCACAACCATGTGTAGGTTGTTGTACGACTTCCACAATTTCAGTATCGTTAACCAATCCGTCAAAGTAACAGCTTCCTCCGATAATCGAGATATTCAACCTAGCTACGGGACTGAAAAACAACAAGCTGAACTCCGGACTCACTCTAATCGGAGAAACAAGCTGCAGCTGGATAGCAGCCGTTAGATCTACATAACTCCCGAGCAACATAGACAAATCGGGATTGCTTAGAGAATCATTGAAGCCAACAATAGTGGAGCGCACGGTGCACCGTCCGGATGTATTTTGCAATTTCAAAAACCTTTCCCAGCTCGAATACCCTTTCGAATCATCGAAAGTCGCCAGCCCTTCGCATCCACTTAATTCCCACCTTAAAGTAAAAGAAGACGAATTCGCGAAAGCTATATCAAAATTACTGATTCCAACAGCCGATATTCGAATTTCGCGCCCGTTGGCTACTGTAGCCGTTCTTTCAGCCCCCCTTGCAGACCATATAACTGGAAGAGCATTCAATTCTTCGTCGGGTATTATTACAATATAAGATGGGTAGCTACATGTAAGCACCATTTCAGCTTCGGATACAGCTGGAAAACGATGCTCTTCGCCCATTAGGTTTCCCCTTCTGAAAATAACCGAGAAAGGCTCCAAACTTTTGCATCCTATTCGGTATAAATTGCCGTAAACGGTCGATATTCGATCCAGGAAAATTCTACTTTTCGCATAAGTATTCCCCTCGTCGATTACATCCACAGTTTCAACGAACTCGACATCATCGCCCCACCTCTCTGGTCCTCCAGAAAGCATTACATCCAAGTAAGTTCCGAGTGCAAGATTGACATCATCCGATCTCCCTAGCTCGTTCCAAGATCCAATACGAGCCGTATCGAACCAGTAACCACCAAAACGGTTCCCGTCGCTCGCCTGGTGTATAGTAAGCGGTGAATATGCAGCAACACGTAAGGAAACATTCAAGACATAAGATTCCGAGTGTCGATTCTCTCTATTTAATGTTGCATGCACGATGGTGCGGCCGGGACCCGATGGGTAAATGAGAGTCGATACGCAAGCAGGGCCGTACGACGAGGAGGAGGAATTGAGTCTAACAGCCAATAATCTCAGAGTTGTGTTGACAATTATGAAAGACTCGCTCTCGGTTTACCATCTAATATATGATCCGAAAGCATCACATGCATGGAAATACGCGCCGCTCGATGCTCTCAATGTCAGAGAAGCTTGAAGATGTGATCCGACAGGTACCTCCACAGGAAAGATAGGCAGAATGATCATCGAAGAAGGGACAGAAACTTCAATAACCATCTCATCATAATTCAGTGAATCGAAAATCGACACTACTCTAATAGTTGCATTTCCGGGTTTTCTTGCCCTAACAATGCCCGAGGCAGATACAGACACAACCGCTTCGTCTAAAGATAGCCATTTATAGTGACTGGGAAACACAGCACAACCTCCGCTTGCTTTAAGCTGAAACTCCTGGTAGACACCCGGGACCCACGGGAGGAGAATTCTGTTAAAACGGTTACCCGCTCGTTCCTTAACAAACTCAACTTGATCACAAACCGTGAATTCTTGAGAAACCTTGAGAACTTCTTTCTTAATACCATGCCCAGTGCGGTAAGCCAAAGTCGCTATAAGCTTTCCCGATCCAGATGAATACGCAATTAGTATTCTGTACTTGTTCTTATTAGCAACTCTAACAGAAACCGGGAGAATATCGCAGAAAAACTGCCCCCAATGAGCCAGATCAATCACAATCTCGTTGTTCGCTGTTATAAAAACCTCATGCGTACCCGTTTCTGTCGACGATAAAGCCTTTAAATGAATGATATATCGTTGGCCAGCCACTAAATACCAACGCGACGCTGCGGGAATATTACAGTCACCACAAAGATAGAGTGGCCTCAGAAATAGCAACAAATTATCGGGCAAGACAATATGGAGAGATGATATCTGCATCTGTCCGAGAATTCGGGTGTCTCGAACAACAACTTGTGTTGCCCCCAAGCTCAACGCACGAGCTGTACCCGTTTCTCCGTCCACCTCAGCAACCGAAGAGTTTGAGGCTGACCAGTGATGGAATGGAGATGGTAGGCTCACGACTCGTGGCATATTACTACGGATGGATTTGAGGGTATAACGGACAACTGCGCCGATGAGGACATACACGGGTGATGGAGGATCGAGAGACATTGCCTCTGCAACTGTCAAAGTAATCTCGTCTTTCAAGTACCGGGACGATGATTCTAGTAAACTGACAGAAACAATCGAAACGCCAATTTCAGTGCCTTTCACAACACACAAATCCGAAAAAACACCACTCTCTTCAAGATTTACTTGGATATCCGAATCACCGAAGAAGCCACCATAATCACTCAATGGAGAGTCCTTTAGAGGTACATGGACGAGGTTACGAGGCAATCCGTGAGTTTCGGGCATCATTTGCCACATGAATCGCAGGCCCACCAAGGAGGAAAAGACATTATCTGTAGCCACAAGGAGAAAAAAAAACACATAAGCCAATACACGAAAGAAAACTGTGCAAACCTTCATACAACATAGAATGACTAATTTCAGCATTAAACCAAACAAAAACCAAACAATCATCGAAATTTTGACGCCTCGCAGGAAAATTAAATCATAAAGAATTGTACTAGTTCTTTTGGGAAACAAAAATAAATTTGCAACAAAAAAAAAATATACATGTATATATACCTTCACTATCAAAGGCACGGACCCTTAGAGGAGCAAAACCATGAAAATAAAGCTTGAGAGGGTTGTTGAATATTTCAATCCTTGAAATTTCATCTACATAAACCCTATAACGAACGATCGTTCCATTGTGAAAATCAGTCGCATAAACGGTAGTTTTCTTTCGCCCACTGTAAGGAGCAATAGACTTCAACCTAGCACTCGTCGAGCAGTATTGGCTACTCGAATTGAACTCCGGCAAGACCACTAATATATCATGATCGTCCCATGACCTAGAAATATAACAAATAAATTAAGAAATACATCATGAATTAAATTCTGTATGCTGGGTATAAATCGTATGCAATGTGACCTACCATATGAAGCAACCATCGCCGCCAGGAATTCTGTATTCAACGGACTATTGGTTTCAGGAAGTGGTGGAGACAACAAAGAGTTATGGGTGATTTAAGAAATATTGAGGGAGCCTTGTCACCCCATAACTCTATGTTATCTCCACCACTAGCTAAGAGTAATAGTCCATTAGAACCTTATCGGAATAATGTATCCAATGCATTATTCCGTTAGAGTTTATAACTACGTTTCAGGGGGGTGAGTGTAATTATCAATACCATAGGGACCTTAAAATTATTTAAGCATACCACAAGGGTGTGGGTGTAATTTACCCTAAAATTTAATATTTCTTTGGTAAAATAATTAACAAAACAATATAACGGTTATTGGATCATGTAAAATTTAAAAGAAACTAAAATTAAATTATTTGAACAAAAAAAATGAAAAATAATATATATTATATGATTGTGAATCAGAAGATATATTAACAATATGAATTAAAAAATATATATAAATAATTAAATTTATTATTAATTTGATTTTGATTTCTTAAAATTTATTAGAAATAGAGGCATAGACATTCTAAGAAATTATTGATTTACAAATTAAAGAATAATTAGTTAGAAATATATTTAGAATTAGTTAGGTTTTTGACTAGTCATAATTATTTAATATATATTTAGTATTTTTGTAAGTTTATCTTTATTTATTTTTAAGTTTTATTTGGTCCAAAAAATTATATTGTCATGTTATTAAATTTATGTTACCAACTCAATATATCATTTTTTAAATTTTAAAATGTTTCATTTACTCTAAAGTATTTATAATAATATAATTGAATCTTTTTTCCAGATATTATATTCAACTAGTAACCATGCCCGTGCGTTGCACGGGATACCATTACAAAATAAAACAAAAAAAAAATATTTAAAACTTAGTATATCGAATACATTGAAATGAAATAATTGAGAACATATCACATAACATACATAACATAAGAACATCGTAATAAGATGGATACATAGTATTGAGAACTTGGTCAATACAATTAACAATAATTTTCATAATTGAGCAAATAAACTTGAGATTGTATAGTTTGTCGAAGTACAACATATTTTCATTTGTCATATCTTGCTCCATTATTTTTCAACACCATCAAAATTAATATGTGAAGAAGTCGTGACAAAGTGTACAAATCCATGTAGTAGATCTTAGAAGAGTCAAAAAAAAAACCATCTATATCTCATAATTTAGCCGTGGCAAAATTTATATTTTTTAATTATAAAAAAAATTAATGAAGTTGTGTAGATGGATAGAAATAGGCTTAATTCTAATTTGCACTCTTGAAATATACCATTTTGGCACTTTGCACCCTCAAAAAATAATAATAGCACTTTGCACCCTCAAAACACAATAAATCATTCACAATGCACCATGAATTTTGAGTAATAAAGGCAATTTCATTTTTCATTGGTGTTTTAATTTTTTTCGGGGTGCAAAAAAAAAAAAAGTTGTTATTTTCTTGAACCTCCAACCTAATTTCGAGGGGACAAAGTGCGAAAAAAAAATTATTGTTCCGCTCTTCGTAATGATAACCATAAAATATAAAATTAATGTTTTGGATAAGAAAACTTCCGTTAGCATGAGACTTACGCTCCGGTTGAGCCCTTTCGTTTCTTCTTGTAGTTTTTCTTCATGCTAAACCCCAACTCCTTGCGCTCCATGATATGACTGAATCCATACACATCGGAAAGGATCCACATCTGGTGCTGATAATATATTACAAACAATGGGTTATGTCAGCACTATTCGAGAGCTAATTGACTAAAATAACATGAATTATAATGGAAACTAAAACATAATACATTGATGCCTTTAACTATTCTTACATATTATAGGCCAAACAAATTGAAGTAAATTAAGATTAAATGTTTGTATCAGTACCAAGTCAATATAGTTGCATGAGAAAACAAAACTGAACAAATCCACGTGCAAAAACAAATTTCAACATTTCAATGCATATAACAGGATATTGTTTTCATAATTTCACAGAAAACGCAACAAAACTCCATAGTAATCCTTTAAACAAAAACATTGAAATCATAAAAGATAAAAAATGTGTCATGTTGTGTAGACGAAAAATACCATGATGAATGCAAGCTCAAAAAGCAGCACGCTGAGAATGGATATTGTGCCAAACCAAAACAAATATGAGACATTCCACTCTCAAACAAACAATAACATATGAATTTTAGCAAACATAATTAGCAGTCTTAGGATTTTTAGTTTATGGGAAATAAAAAATGTAAAAGAAGTATCACAATAAATACAAACATAGAGGATGGTGAGGGTGTACAGTACAGGAAGGAGGGATCAATCAATTCCCTACACGTGGTTCACTAACACTTCAATTCATATCTCTCTCAAAATCTCTCACATACAGTTCAATTGCAGTGAACATAGGTTTGTTGCAAGCAATTGATCGACTATTTCTGTTGCAATTATATTTTTTTTTCGATTTAACTTAATACAATTAGCGAAATAAAACGAACAAAAAGCAGAAATTTGCAGAAAATCATAAGCCCATTACCCGTAGTAATAAACGAACAAAAAGGAAAGGAAAAGAGAAGAATATGGATAAACTGATTATTTGATCGTGTTGAATAGGGATAAATGATGGTGGATTGTGTATTAATTAACAGACGGTTATGCATCAGATATATACAAAAAATCAGCTAAGAAACCTGGTACCACAAAAAAGTTATTGTGCGTGCTCAAGGCCGGAGAAGATCCAAACCTGTAAAACCGTAAGTCAAGCACCACAATCTATGCAGACATATGCATAGAAACAGAAGTGCTTATGGACAAACCTAAGCTAGAAATTCTTGGTAGTCAGAGTCTTTCACTTTTTAATTTCTACAGCATGTCCTCTTTTCGTGAATCCATCTTCACGACAAACAAATCCTTTACCAATTAAACACTTGGAATCCATCTACTGTAATATAACAACCTGCAAAACCACATATGAAATAACATGTCTTTATGAAAAGCTATAATTTATGCATATATACGTGTAAAGAGAAAGTGTTTTATGCCAAAAACGTGGGTTAAAAACTCTTGGTCTGAGTCTATCTTCTAAATTGCTACAGCATATCCTTTCATAGGATCCTTCGCCAATTGAATACTTTGGAATGACGGGGACACAAATCAATAGCATATTAATAGTTTCTTTGCCCTTTCCTGCTACGATAACGTGTGAAATTACCAAAAGAAAAACTCTAATATTTATAGAAGACCATTACGGTTTGAAAATCAAAATGAACATAAATATTTTCTAATTTTATTATAGTTAAATAAATAATAACAACTCATTCTACCAGATGGTTTAACTCGGTTCGATCAAAAATGCGTACGAATGCCACATCCGTGATGGTTTGTTCTGTCTTTTCCGCCATCTTTTCTTCCAAAATGAGGCTCAACACTGATTAACTTGTTGTTAGTAAACTCTTTCAAAGGGGGTTCAAGATTATGCGCATCAGTGGAGGCTATTATAAGTTTTTTCCTTGTCAGATAGCTGTATAATGATAAAAAGCAGAGAAATCAACTCAAACACGTAAATAAGCACTTACAAATATATATAATTGGACACTAAATGTTTTTAAATGTTCATTTAGTCAATAAGCTATAAACCACCGAAAACGCCGCATCAGTAAACCAAAACCTCAAATGTAGCCATCAAATCCGACACATTTGAATCATAGAAGAAAAATGTCTAACTGATCCAAATATGACTTCATATTCGAGTAAAAAAAAAAAGGAAAACAAATGTTCAAAGAGTGAAATCATGAAATTACATATCCCATAATATGAACTTTCAACTATTAACATAAAGTTCGGAAACAGTAAACACACACACACACACAAAGTCTAGGAACACAAAAAAAAAAATTGTGGTCATCTCAGTTTGATCATGTCTGAATCACAGTTCAAAGAAGAAACTCACTGGAGAATATGAGACATATATACCAGAGGTTGAATCAAACACTATTCATTTCAGTGCCGACTTACAGTAAGGAACTGCTATCCTCGCCATATGGTTATGATATTGCAATACCTGCCCACAAAGTCTAATATCAATGCAGAAAAAAGAATATATGTATCTATATATTTGAAAAGAAAAAAAAGGACGAACATTATGAAAATAAAAAACCCCGATTAAATTCCAAATTACTGAAAAAACATCAGCATCAGTTATAGCATGTGAATAAGCATTTGTATTCTGAACGCCCTGTGTATCAAAAGAAAAAAAAAAGAAAAAAAGCAAAGCCATAAGTTCTTCATAAGACCCACAAACAAATTTCATAAAAAAAGAAAAAAAAAAAAAAAGAATTCAATAATCAAAGCAAGATATATGCAAAATATCCTTAGAAGTCATGGACCGAAGCTCAGGCTCTTCATCTTCAGTTTTCACTGCTTGAAACGGAGAAAGAATATATACTTTCCTTGTCTCCAATGAAAACACACCATGTCTTGCTATTCTAATAATTGTGGTCGTTATCCCTCGAAGACGATGGTCCGAACCTATTAAACAATCGTCTTCCACCATCCATATAATGTCCATTAAAGATGCGAATGTAAAAACCACAATAAAATCGAGAAAGAATGCGTGCAGTTAGTATTTGATAATGGGGGTTGGTGATGACGTAAAAAGTTCGGATTTGAAGGAGATTTATGGACCCTAAATATATGTTGCAGTACGAAGTTCTCAGATTGGAGTAAGAGCAATGTTATAGTTCTACAAATAGAGGTTGCCACCCATATCCATCCCCATCTTCTTCCACCATGAGACAAAAGAGGAGCAGTTATACCAGAAAAGAGGAATAGTTTTTTCATAAATCGTGTGTTGAGAAAATATATAGTAAAACGCGGGGTTGTGGAATCGAAATTTTGAGAAATTATTTAATGACAATATTGCCCTTAGTTTTAGGTCTAGGGTTATAGGTCAAAATATCTTCTTTTTATATATAAGATTATGTACGGGTGTCATACTTTGAGGGTGAAATATGTAATTAATCCCTTTAAAAAACTTAGGGTAAAAAGCATTTTACCCCCTGGACTTTGGGGTGTTTTGCACGGCGCCCCCAGCTTACAAAATACTACATTAAAATATTGATACGTCTAAGTGGACCCCAATGGGCCCATTAACTATTTCATTAAAAATGGGCCAAAATACCAATATAATGGGCCCACTAATTATCTGGTCATGTACGCCGAAAATCAAAGGCGCAATAGCCCACCTGATAGAGGACTCGAGCCCACCATATCAGTTCAAAGACATAAATAAAGTCCTAAATTTTAGTTCAAATAAATTTATATTCTAGTTGGGCGAATGGCAAATAGGTCCATCACATGAAACTTAAATTGACATTGATCAAAAAAAGAAACAGTCTTTCAAATAAACTAATCCTGATGTCTTTAGTCTCAAAAACCCTCCATAATATAATACTTATCAATTCCATCCATTATGCTCTAACTTCTTTAATATTACACATTGACCCCGGACTTAAACAAATATATCACATTAACCCCCAAAATAATAATTTTTTGAAATTTTTTTTTTTTTTCTGAAATTTTTTTTCCGGCCAAATTCCGGCGTTAACTTTTTTTTTTCTTTGGGAAAGTTTTTTTTTTTCTGAATTTTTTTTCCAGTCGGTCTACGACGTTGATTTTTTTTTTTTAAGTTTGGGACAGTAATATTATGAATTTTATTTTCCCGAACAGTAATATTATTAATATTACTGTCTGAGACAGTTAAATTATTGTTGTAGACAGTAATTTAGCAGCCAAGACAGTAATATTAATTAAAAATATTTTTAAGAAAATAAAAATCAATTAACTAAAATATTAACTAATTTTTTTTTTAAAATGATCAATTCACAGTTAAATTACTGTCTCCGACAGTTAAGTAACTGCTAGATATAGTAATTTAGCAGTCAAGACAGTAATATTAATTAAAATATTTTTGAAGAAAAAAAAAAGTCAATTAACAGTTAAATTACTGTCTCCGACAGTTAAATAACTGTTGGAGACAGTAATTTAGTAGCCAAGACAGTAATATTAATTAAAATATTCTTTTTACGAAAAAAAAATTATAAAAAAAAAAAAAAGTCAACGCCGGAGACCTGGCGGTCAACGGCAGTTGACCTATCGGAAAAAAAATTCAAAAAAAAAAAAGGCAACGGGGGTCTCCAGCGGTCAACGACGGCTGACCGGCAGTCTCCGGTGGTGGTGTAATTGGAGTTGAATTGGGTTTCAATGAATTGGGGGTAATTTTGCTATATATATATATATAAGGATTTTCCTTATTTGCAAATAAGTTTGAATGAGCTGGATTTATTTGAAAGACAAAAAAGTTGGATGTCCTCTTTTAATTAAATGCCCTTGTCATGGGCCTATTTGTCATTTGCACATTCTAGTTAGGGGTTTACCATTAATTAAGTATAAATAAGATATCAACCTCATTGGAAAAATGGTACGTTCTAAAAAATCTCCCGAGTCCTATTGATCTCGTGTTCTCTACCCTATTTTCTATGCTAGCGCCTGACTTGAGCGTTGGAGAGGTTTCAGTTTGATCTACCCCCAACTTAGTTCACGTGTTTTGATTTTATAGGTTTGATAATCAAGTTTTCATCTCTACGTGATTGGATTATTAGCTCGCGTGCAAGAAATCTACCCCGTGTTTCCATACCAATCTGTCAAGATGATCCCTTACGTCATAAAAAATGCATTAAGATGATTTTTTTGTTTTAAAAATAATTTAGATTTTTTTTCTTTAGTTTTCCAAAAGAAGCTAATTGATTTTCAAAAAAGTATTTTCATGGATATAATAAGCATTGTAGAAAATAATTATTAACCATTTAAAAAAATGGAAATTTTGCAAGACCCTTCCATTTGAGAAAATTATGTAAGGAAGAGGGAGAACCCCATCTTTTTTTATAATTTGAAAGAACTCACTTAAGTACTCTAGCTAATTTTTAGATATTAAATTTCAGTACTACTCTTTATGAGATTTAATTGCCTTTCATTTCTATTTGTTCTGTTACCATAAAAGTATATAAATCCATGGGGTAGTATGCAGGTTTTTGGTAAAATACATCGGGTGATTTATCATTGATTTACACACAATCACACAAACACTCATGTATATATGTGCTTAATAGGAAGTTATTTCACTACATCAACATTTAATAATACTCCCGTGTATTTCATTTGATGTAGTGCATATCAAGGACCTAATATGCAAGACACCCCCCCACCCTAAATATTTCATTATTTAATGGGATTTGAAATAATTTATGGTCCCGAATTCGTATTATACAGAGATGTTATCTAAAATGTTATGACACTTGAGACAACATGCAGCGGAAATATAACGATTAAAGGACAATACTCAGAATTAAAAATGTTCACAAGTATAGACTTGTGAACTTGTCCTTTACAGGACGGAAAAATATATTAAAATCAGTATTCCAAGAATACAAACAGAAGAGTGCGAAAACTTCTTCCTTATGAGTGAATCTTTTTCAAGATCACTCTTACAACCAAATCTAGATACTAAAAGAAAGATATCAAAAATTCTAGATTTCAAAGAATGTACTTATAAATAGTACGTACAACAGATCCTAGAAAACACACTAAAATTCTCGAGATTAAAACTTCAGCTCTCTATTTTGTTTTCTCAAAATCTATAATAATCTTGAGTCTTGAGTTTGATATTTATAGACTTGCCAAGCTTCCACTCTTCAGCCCATGATCTGCAAGAAAACCAACCACAAGAGCACTCAAGATAATGGGTTAGTGGGTTAGTTAGGAAGTTAAGATAAATCCCATAATTAAATCCACTAAGCACTACTTAACCCTACTAAGCCCACTAACTAAGATTTAGTTTAGAAATTAAGAAAAGTTAAAAACACATTGTGAATTTAATTCACGTGTTTCAAACTCCCCCTTTTTAACTTTCTGATCAAAACTAAATCTTAGTCAAAGACTCCCCCTGAGATATTGCTTGAACTCCCCCTGAATTTGATACCATTTGAAAAACATAGAAACAATAAATTAAAACCAAATTCAGCAAGATAGTCCAACAAAAGAAATAATCAAAGTGCAGTCCTAAACAAAAGTTCAGAGGGAAAATAAACAAAACACAAACAAAATAAAATATTGTTCATGAAAACAATCTAAAGTAAGATATCCAAAGTCTCCAAGGTCTCCTCAGTTTCAGCTGCTGCTGCTGCTTCACCTCCATCACTAGATCCACTGCTTTCTTCTTGAGCTTCCTCCTCTTTCTTTGCTTCCTCTTCAGTGACTCCTTGCTCTCTGCCTCTAGCATCCAAAGGATGAGATGTTCCTGCTTCAGTTTCATGATCTTTTTCTCCCCCTTTTTGATCAGAAAGAGCCTTCTGAATCATCTCCACCATGGACTGATGATAGGTAATCTGAGCTAGGGAATGAGTAAGCTGCTGCAATAGGAGATCTCTAGGAACAGACACAAGAAGGTTAGAAGTGTTGTCAACATGAGGTGCAACACTCTCAGTACCAATGTTATTTTGACCTGATTCAGTTGAGAGAAAATCATCTCCATTCCAGGGAAGATCTTGAACATGAGGAGCCCTCAGAAAATTTTGAGACACAGTGATCATGCCTTGTGGAGTGTGAAGATATTATGAGTCATCTTGGCCCAAGTTTTGAGAAAGTAAGATGGAATAGATGAGAGAAGGATAGGGAAGGTGAGTGGAGGGTGAAATTTTCTGGGCAAGATGACCAATAGTATCAAAGAACAGTTTGCCAAAATCCACTGGTAAACCCATCCCCAATTTGTACATGAGTACAGCATGAGGCTTAGTTACCACAGAGACATTTTTGGATGGAATCCAATTAGCCACTGTGAGTCTAAACAGGACAGAGTAGAAAGCAGTGAGTTGAGAGACTTGAAATTTTCTTGGGTGTGCAGGCCAATTTCTTAAACGGTTTCCAGAAATAACTTTGCAAATTTCAGTAAAATCACCATAGTTATCCTCATCAATCACAGTAGGAGTTTGTAAATGAGAGTTGATAACTTTGGGAGAAAAAGAATAAATGGCATTACGCACAAAAACTTTGCCAAAGTTTGGAGAGTTTTTCTTTAAAAAGGAGGTTTGCAAATTGGCATAAAACTCTTTCACAACCAAGGGATCATAAGAGCAGGCAATCTCAACTAGGTTAAGGATTTTTCTTTGGTGAAGAAAAGCTGTTATCCTATGCTTATCAAATTCTTCCTTAGAAATTTTCTTCTCCTCAATGAAATGACAATTCATGACTTGAGGACTCAACAGTGAATCAGACTCAAAATAGAAATTAGTACTGAAAGCATTTGTTACCTCAAAAGGAGTTGACAAGTTCTTCCCATCCTGGTCTGGTTCTTCTTCTTCTGAGGAATCATCATCTTCTGAATCTTCAAGCTCATCAGGAACATATGCTGGTTCAGGTGATGCAGCACGTGGGGCAACACCTTCTTCCTGCTGAGAAGAGTCTTCAGAGGATTCACTTTCGGAATCAGAAGAGGACAAGTTTTTGCGAAAAGTAGCTAGTGGAACCTCCCAACTGTCTTCACTTTTCTCTGATTGTTCAGCCTGAGGAGGAATTGTATCTGCTTGAGCTGCTGCTTCTGCCAGGGTTTCCAGAGGATCTCCCTGAGGTGCTGATGGAGTTTCTTCTGTAGTGGTGAACTCCTGAGTATCGACAAATGGAATGTCTACATGCTCTGCTGATGACATTCCAGAGAAATCAGGCATTTCTTCATCCTGATAAGGGGCAGCATCCTCAGCAGCATTCTGAGGAACATTTGCTGAAACAGTAGGTGCAGCAGCATCTTCTGGAGCATGTGCAGCAACACCTTCAGAGACAGATGCAGCAACACCTTCAGGAACAGATGCAGCAACACCTTCAGGAACAGAATGTTGAGAGGCTGCTGTTGCCATGCTGGGCTGCGACGTCTCCCCCTGAGTTGATGCTGGGGAAGGTGAGTTGTTGGATGAAGACTCAGAGGAGCTGGAGGACAAGGCTTGAGCCTGTGGTGCAGCAAAGGTAGGATCCCCTGCTTCGTCATCAGTTTCTTCATCTACCAGATGAAGACCTCTTCGTGGGTTTGACTGGACTGGAGTGCGGCCACCTCTGCTTCCTCTTCTTCCACCTCTGCTTCCTCTCCGGGGAGAGTTTTCTCCTCTTCGGCGTTGAGGCATCGTAGTGTTCAAATCTGGAAAGGGGTTTGTGCGCTTTGACCGGCGCGTTGGAAATCTTCCGGCGGTGGAAGAGGGACCCACAAAATCAAAGTTGTCTGGGTCAATCGGGTTCAGCTCGTCGCCGGGCTCAATGTAGCTGATAGGAACAGCTTCAAAGTTGATTGGATGAACGATGATGGCCAGATTTGGGTCTGCTGGTACAGGTGCTGCAGCATCGTTGTGGACATCACCATCGACGGCTGGAGGAGGATTTCTAGGTGGGGATGCCATGATACAGTAGATAAAGTAAAATTGCTTCTTTGTGCTTTTGATTTTTGAGTGTGAATTTTGTGAGAAGAAGCACGAAATTTATAAGCCCTAATTTTTGCTGAAGAAGAAAGAAAAAAAATTGAAGTGGAGAAGGTGAAGAAGTGGTGTCCGTTTTTCTTGGGGAGAGTGTGATTAAGGAGAATAAAATTTCCTTAGGCAGTTTAAAATAAAAACGTGACACATGGCACAATAAGGAGTGGACTTAGTGGAAAATAAGGAATTAACCCATGTACCCATGACCCATATAAATAGGAATAATTAAAATGAAAAGAGAAAAATCAATAAAACCGTAGCACTCAAGAAATATTCACAATTAATAGAAAAATACATTTATTAATGATTAATAGTGAGAAAAATTTGCTGACAGGCATAGATACTATTATATCTGTATATTTATATACTTATTATATATATATATATATATATATATATATATATATATATATATATATTTTTTTTTTTTTTTTTATAATAAAATATATATTATATATAAACTCTTATTTTCAAGTCAAACAATTCACATGGAACATGATCAAGTGTTCAGTTTGAAGGTTCCTCAGTTACTAAGATATGACTATCAAAATAGAGGAGTTTGACTTATGTGAGTGTAATTATTTGTCTAAATGTTTACATGAAGCATGACCACGTTTCAAGGTGAAAGACTTCCAGTTACTGATTTAGAAAATAATACATCACAGTGAAGTCATTATTTAATGAAGCTAATGCTTCAGTAAATTGTGTTGCAGCTTAAGATATTTGATGAGGTGCTGCAACACGTTTCAGGACATGTTTATTGAGTACACATCCCGAGAGATTTTCTGAGTTTTGAAAACCTCTCATAATCTAATGCCTTTGTAAAGATGTCAGCCAGCTGATCATCTGTAGGAATGTACTTTAAGCACACTATATTTTTCTCAACTATATCACGAATAAAATGATGTTTAATATCTATGTGTTTAGTTCGTGAGTGTTGAACGGGATTTTTTGAAATGTCAATAGCACTTGAATTATCACAATATATGGTCAGGGTATCACTGGTTAACCCATAATCTCCCAACATTTGTTTCATCCAAATTAGTTGACCACAACACCCTCCAGCAGCTACATATTCTGATTCAGCTGTTGAAAGAGATACACAGTTTTGCTTTCTACTAAACCAAGAAACTAGATTATTCCCCAAAAAGAAACATGCACCTGATGTGCTTTTTCTGTCACTAATATCCCCAGCCCAATCAGAATCACTAAAGCCTATCAAGTTTGTATTTGTGTCTTTGAAAAACTGAATCCCTAAGTCTACTGTACCTGCAACATACCTAATAATCCTCTTCACAGCTTTAAGATGGGTGACCTTGGGATTTGCTTGATATCTGGCACACACACAAACACTAAACATAATGTCATGCCTGCTTGCTGTTAGATACAGAAGGCTTCCAATCATGCTTCTGTAGAGAGTGCTGTCGACATCTTCTGCAACATCATCCTTAGACAGTTTTTGGCTGGAACCCATTGGATTTTTCATGTGCTTGGCTGATTCCAACTCAAACCTTTTGACCAGATTGAGGGCATACTTCTTCTGATTCACAAACATTCCTTCACCTGTCTGTTTGATTTGGAGTCCTAAGAAGTAATTCAACTCCCCTACCATACTCATTTCAAAAGTGTGAGACATTGAATCTACAAAAGACTGTAAAAGGTTAGCACAAGTAGAACCAAAAACAATGTCATCAACATATATTTGAACAATAATGATATGATTATTAGTTCTCCTAACAAATAGGGTTCTGTCTGCCTCCCCTCTATTGAACTGTATTTCAAGTAAGAAGTCAGTGAGTCTTTGATACCATGCTCTAGGAGCTTGTTTAAGACCATACAGTGCCTTCTTAAGCTTGAAAACATGATTAGGTTTGGCAGAATCTTCAAAACCCTTTGGCTGTTCAACATATGCTTCCTCATTTAAAACCCCATTCAGAAATGCACTTTTGATATCCATCTGATACAGTTTGATTTTAAGAAAGCAGGCTATAGCAAGAAGTAATCTAATAGATTCAATTCTAGCTACTGGAGCAAAAGTCTCATCAAAGTCTATACCCTCAATTTGAGTGTATCCTTGTGCTACTAACCTAGCCTTATTTCTAACAACTGTACCTTTTTCATCAGTTTTGTTTTTGAAGATCCACTTAGTCCCTATCACATTTACATGGCTTGGTCTGGGAACTAAGTACCACACATCATTTCTGATGAATTGATTCAATTCTTCATGCATTGCATTTACCCAGAATTCATCCTTCAGAGCTTCTGCAATATTCCTAGGTTCCACTGAAGACACAAAACAAGTGGTTCCAGTTAGTGCACATTCAGAAGATAAATTAGCAAATCTTACCATATCTCTGTAGTTCACTCTCTCTTTTCTTCTGGTTCTTATTCCACCAAAGATATCACCCACTACTTGAGTTGATGGGTGATTTTTCTGGATTCTGCTTGATGGTTCCTTTCTGCAGACATCTAGGGTTGGTTGCAACTCAGTCTCTGTAGGATGTGTTGAGTCAGATGTGGTGACACTTGGCTCAGCACCTTCTTCTCTTAAGACTGGACTGTTTGTGTCTGGGCTTTCTGTGGCAGAAGTGTCTTCTTCTGTTGTTTCCCTTTCAGCAATCAAGTCATCAACTTCATCTTCAGCTGTTTTACTGCGGAGATCAGCAAAGTCATCAAATACCACATTTACAGATTCAATAATGGTTCGAGTTCTTAGATTGTATACTCTATAAGCATGACTGTTATTAGAGTATCCCATAAACAAGCTCAAATCACTTTTTGAATCAAATTTAGCTAGATGATCTCTATCATTTAGAACATAGCAGACACACCCAAACACATGCATGTATTCTAGATTAGGTTTCTTACCATAAAGAATTTCATATGAAGTCATCATTGATCCTAATCTTAGATACACACGGTTTGAGATGTGACAGGCTGTGTTGACAGCCTCAGCCCAAAACCTTTTAGACAAATTTTTTGCACTCATCATCACCCTAGCCATTTCCTGAATAGTTCTGTTTTTCCTTTCAGCAATGCCATTTTGCTGAGGAGTTTTTGGAGCAGAAAATTCATGCTTTATTCCCTTTTTATTACAAAAAGCAAAAAATAAAGCATTCTCAAATTCCTTTCCATGATCAGATCTTATCCTACGAACAGAAACTTGAAATTGAGTTCTAACAAACCTGTACAAATTTTTGAATACTTCAAAGGTGTCTGATTTTTCTCTCAAAAAATACACCCAAGTATATCTTGAAAAATCATCAACACATACAAAGACATATTTTTTACCACCTAGACTTTCTACCTCTATAGGACCCATAAGATCCATATGTACAAGTTCAAAACAAATAGTGGTACCAACGTGTTGCAACACTTTGTGTGGTACTCTGGTTTGCTTTCCCTTCTGGCACATTCCACATATAGGAATATCCTTGATCTTGAGATCTGGTACTCCTCTTATGGCATTGTACTTGTTGAGCAGCTTCAGATTCTTGAAGTTTGTATGTCCTAGTTTCTGGTGCCACAGCTCTACTTCACTTACTCTTGAACTCTTGCATGAGATGGTGTCACCTGTTTGATAGCAATTATCCATTGATCTGGAACCTGTAAGTACACAATGATTTTGATTATCAAACACAGAACAACAGTATTTATCAAATTCTACACGTAGATCATCATCACACAATTGACTGATACTAATGAGATTTGACCCCAATCCTTCAACATGTAAAACATTTGAGAGTTTTGGAAGCCCCTCAATACTGAGTGTTCCACGTCCAACCACTTTGCCTTTAGCTCCTCCTCCATAGGTTACACGTCCTCCATTAAGTGTGTGGTAGTTTGATAGAAATTCCTTTGTTCCAGTCATGTGCCTAGAGCATCCACTATCAAAGTACCATGAACCTGAAATGTTAGCATTTAAAGAGGTGTATACTGCTTTGCACAAAAATTTACCTTTGGGAGTCCATATTTTACACTCCTTTTTGGTAGATTCTACCTTTTTCTTTGAAGTGTTCCTTGAAGTGTTGTGGCTTATTTTATACAGCATTTTGTCACTGCTGAGTTTTTCACAAAATGGACGAATGTGTCCTGGTGAGAAACAGTAATGACAAACATAACCTCTTATTCTGGAATCTGGAGTGGTGACTGTGGACTTCCTGCAATCCTTTCTGTTTGCACCCTTCTCTTTTACAAAGACAATTTCTTTCTTCTTAACTGGCTTCATTTGTTTTTTGAACCCTAGCCCTTCATGTTTGTAGTGCTTTTCCATTGACACAATCTCTTCGAGCTTAGTTGTGCCAGTGTTCATCCTCTTGATTGCTAGAGTTGCCTTTTTGAGTTCTTCTTTCACTTTTGCCAGTTCAAGATCCTTCTTGGTGATTCCAACCTCCAAATGTGTGATTGTTTCTTTGAGGGAGGAATTTTCCTTGTTGGCTGCATCTAGAGCTTGAGTCTTATTCTCCAAGTTTCTGATCAGCTTTTTACACATTTCTTCATCATCACTGACTGCTTCATTGCTGGATTCTGCTGCATTCACAGAAATAGAGTTTAAACATGTATATTGATCAGTATTTAACTCACAAATTGAAAGTGTTTCAGAAAGTGTTGCAGCATCCAGGGAGACTCCTTGGGATTCTGTTTTAGTGGAACTTCCA